AGAAAAAGACAGGAGAGGGAGTGGGGGAAAGATATCTATGTATTAAGCAGGATGGTTTGGATAACTATACTATGTACTTCTGCTGGTCTATGGAAAGGAGCAGTTAATGCTTAATTTATTTTGTCTCCTTTTTTCAACTGTTGTCTTTTTTCTCTTAATTTCATATATATTTATTTCTTCCAATTTTGCATACATATATCTGGTAATATAAATAACTAGTTGGAAGACAGTATTATGCATTACAACAAATACTGTGAAATTCATATTATATTGTTAAGTGAAAATTCTGCATCACTTGTAATTTTTTGTTTTAATACTATTTTGTACTCTTTTAAAAAAATTAAAAAAGGAATTACAGCTGTTATCCATAAAAAAAAAAGATATTTGGACCCACGGGAATATGCAGGGTCACACATGTGCAGAAACCCCGTGAGGATACCTTTGAGCGGTGACAAGGGCTCCGTCCTCCTGGATGGACTGATCCATGCATGACAGCGATTGGCTGCCAAGGCCTGACTGACTGAGTCTCTTGCCAAGGGAAGCCCTATGCTGCCCAGGGACCCTGCCTGCCAGAAAGCTGTCACCCAATGTCACCTATGAGTACACAAGAATCATGAGTTGAAATAAACTTCTCTTTTTCATAGCATAATCCCTGGCATTATTAGCCCCAGAAAATAGACAATTAAAACAATTCTTTTAGAGACAAGCCCCCAAAGTGCACATCCTGGCTCTCGCTTTGGTCATTCTTCACATCTAAACCCATCTCATACTGTCGAAGAAACTCTCAAGTGGTCAGGAGAAGATTCACACCAGACACTTGACACACAGAAGTAGGATTTCTGCCGGCTCAGCATTTATTAATTACACGTGTACAACTCTGCATTAGGCACAGATGCATATGTCAGCAACTAGAAAAATTAGTGGTGTACACCTTTAAAAAGCAATATATCTGTATATTTTTCCACTATTCCTATCCCCAAATTTTACCCAAGAAAGAGCATGAAGCATTTACAGCATGTTATTATTCAAGTAAAATGCTATTTAAAATAGCTAGATACAGGCAATTACAACATCAGAATCCACCCTTTAGAGGAAACAAATTCTGTGGCAGTTTCAAGTTCGTGATGTCAGTTAATGAGAACACAGGTTTCCTTACATTGTGCTTCTAATCCACATTTCCACTGAGTCTCTACATAAGAATACAGATCGGCATGGGAAGACGTGACAGTTACACTTCAAAGCCCTCAAATGGTAGAGACAGCCATACGTCACCTCCTGAAATGAGCACCCCTGTGTAGCTGGGGGAGGGGTGGGGCGACGAGCTTGCTAAGGCTGTGGACTCTTGTTTTCTGATCACTGCTGGGAGCTCTGGGCAGCACTGGCTCAAAGCACCTTGGACAAGGCAAGTGTTTAGTAGAAGGAAGTAATGCCCAATAAATGTGTGAAGGTTGGTCTCTCCCTCAGAGCCTAGCACAGGGGCTAGCTGGCTCCTGGGAGGAGATGCACAGCGACCCTTCAGGCTCATCCTGAGCAGACTTTTCCCTTCCATTCATACCATAAACCAGCAGGTATGGCCGAGTTTCACAGAAGGACATTGAAATCTGACTTTCATGAATCGTAAATAATATTTCAGAATCTCCCCCACCCCCAGCCATTCAGAAATATAAATCGTGTCCTTGGTTCTTGGGTTTGCAAAAGTCAGTACCAGAGTGGGCAGATGGGCTATAGTTTGCCAATCCCTGGTCTTTTTTAGTTATGTTGTAAAACAGACACATGTCTGAAAAAGAGAATTCCATATATCACATAAGGTTACCTTCTTGAAAATAACCCTCATGAATGTTGATCTAAAAAACTCTGAGCGGGGCTGGTGGTATACGCTTAATGGTCCCAGCTGCTTGGGAGGCTGAGGCAGGAGGACTGCCAGACTGCACCTACCTCCCAAAATTAAATAAATATTTCTCTTTCTTCCCACAACACAAAACCATTTTACTAAATAACAAACTATTTCCTTTTCAAATTATCTTAATATTTTTTTGGGGGGGTGCTTCTGGGGACTGGCGCGGGGGCCTCATGTTCCATGGACCCTCCCCCCCAAACCTTCAAATTATTTTAATTACAAAATTGGTCAAAGATACTTCAGTGGTCTCTGGCCCTCAATTTAAGTACCTGGTAAGCCAAATATGCAAGAAAACTCTCGAGTGCCATCTCTCCGAGAACGCACCAGCTCACAGTTAAACGTGCACGGGACAGCACTCCTCCACGCATCTCAGCAGCAGTGTCCAGCTTCCAGAAATTAACACGAGAGCGTTTGTATTCTTGACACAAATCTTAAGCGACAGTTACAGAACAACCGTGGAGCAGCAATGACCCGTCAGCACCCGGCATGACTCTGGACAGGTCTGGGCAGTGTCGCTCGGGGCAGTTCTGCTCCTTTTCCTCTGGGCCTTGGGGCTATGGCAGGTATTGACGGGTCTGTGGCAGCTGCAGGACAGCAAGCGTCCTCTGGGCACTGGGACTTTGGAGACTGTTGCTTAGCCACACTGTTCCCGCTCCATGGCTCAGTGAGGTGCGGGGTACAGACAGGGGCTCAGGAGCAGCTGTGTACAGTGCGCCTTCAGTCACGCCTTTCTCCCACACCTGTGGCACCCACGGGATGTGCTGGTGCCCTGAGTGGAAGACGCAAGGGCTTCATCTCTGCTCACTTTACTCCTCCAGAGTCCTCCTCACAACAGGAGGCCTTTCTAGAAAAGCCTAGCATTGTCCTACTGGGACTGTTTCTCTCAGCTTAAGAGCCAACCCTGGCCACAGGCAGTTCATGATGAAATATAAATTCTCTGATTGGCAAGTGGTGCTTGAATTCAAACCCACAAAGTGGCCTGGCAATTGTGGGAGTTATTTCTTCTTTTGAGATCACAGTGGTAAAGGCTTTGCTCATTTGCAAGTAGAGAGTACGTGGTGCTACACCAGGACAGACAGAAACCGACTCAGGCCGGCGGCAGGCTGGCCAGTGGGTGCCGGGCTGCTTCCTCTCACCTAAGGCGTTGCCAGAGCACAGGCAGGCTGGGTGTCCCTGCTGGTGACACATGGCTCTGGAGTGGGGGATGGGAGGTACTGCTCCCAACAGAGGTACAGAGCTACGCAGCAGCCTGGCTGAGAGACCACACGCCCACCACTGCACCATCCTGCCTCTGCCAATCTTTGCTTTCACCTTTGACACATCTTCTACAGGAAACAGAAGAACCTGAAGCAGTAAACTGGGGACAGTGAAGACTTTCGGTCTAGACACAGAGAAGCGCTCTGCAGCCCACAGAGTGGTGCAGACAACTCTGGGCTACTTCAGAGGCTGCCAGGGGTCAGTCTGGCCACTGCCTCTGACATAAGAGGCGAGGAAGGGGCTCATGTGATCCACCGCCCATCACACCCCATGCTGGGGCCAGACTGTGATACCTGAGCAGTGACCAAGCCTTTCCCAAGCTTGGGAGTCCACTTGGGAAGGGGCCCAAGGGTGCCTGCTTCGCTCCACCTTGCTCTGGGGTGATTGGTCATGCTGGGGACCCAGGCTGGCTGTCCAGGCTGTGCAGTCCCAGGGTCAGGGTACACCCCCACTTATGGAGGAGGGGGATGACTGACATCTGCTTAGAAGCACGAGGACTGGCTAAATTCTAAACTATCCCTAATTCCAGTAGCCTACTACTTTATTTAAAATGAGGGATGCAATGTCCCCATGTGTGTCAGTAAACATCCCTTCTTTATTTCTTCAGAACTGAAGGCTCCTACAGGCCTCCATAACACACGTATTTGACCTCCAAGTACTCGTCAATGCCGTACTTGGACCCCTCCCGCCCAAGGCCTGACTGCTTCACACCCCCGAAAGGGCATTCCACGGAGGAGATCAGCCCTTCATTGACGCCCACCATGCCGACCTCCAGCTGCTCCGTCACTCTCCAGATCTGGGCTGGGTCCTGGGAGTAAAAGTAACCTGGGAAGCAGAGGGAAGGACAGATGTGACATGCAGAACCTCCCCTGGACATCCCGTCCAAGGGTTCCCGGATGAGCCCTCGTCGGACCTTTCCACACCTGCATCTCCAGACCCTGGATGTCACCGCTGCTCCTGTCGCACTGCTATGACGGCTCTCCCACACCCGTCAGACTGCAACACCCTGCTCCCAGCTCTGCTTCTCCTCTCTAGCCCACCTGGAATGCCTGGTAGATTTCCACACAATGCTTTTGTCCTGGTTATCTGTAGAACAAGGCTGAATTCCTTAGCAGCTACTCGGACCTTCCCTCGTGTCCCTGTGAGCAGTTTCAGCCATACCTTCATCATTCCAGTCACTCACTGTCATCTCCAATGTAGCCCACCCATCTCCCCACCACACTTACTTCTCTCTGAGCTTTCTTAGTCCCCTCAGGATCTCTCCTCTGACTGCATGATCAGAATCATGCCTATTACTTACAACCTAGTGCAGGACATGGTTTCCTCCTCCATCAACCCACAGACAAGGGAAGAAACCAGTTCTGGACCTGGTAGGGCAGAAACCCTGGACCCATATCTGACTCTGTGAGTGGGTAAAGTGGGACAGGAGACCCCAGAGCACACCTGTTCCCTCCCTGGGTGTGACCAATTTTCCCCCGTGGAGGGGAGGCTTCCACAGAGTAGGAGAGTATCTCTCTTGTGTCTACCTTCTTCCCTGTCACAGGCACTGTGGACACCAACATGCTCACTTTCTCAGGACTACTGGGCCAAGCTGTGCCACTGACCCCCTGCACATTGAAGGTCAGCAGCTCCTGCCCACAAGCTTCCTTCCTGCCCTGCACTCTCTGCTGGTGTCCACAGCCTAGGCTCTCAGGAGAGAGGCAAAACAGAAGCAAGAGCACTTGGAATTTCTGGGTGCTAAGCTCCTGAGAACATGGAGCAATGTGCAATGTTCTGCCTCCTCTATCCCCAGCTTGACCTGAGACCTCCCCAAAGTGTCCCCCAGGCCCAAGCTGAAGGAATTTGTCTTGCACAAATCCAACCTTCCACTTGGAAACCAACACAATGCATGCTCTATGTGCGTTTCTTTCTCAGAATCCAGGGCAATAGTTCAAACTGCATGGCTGGCATTTGCCAGACAGAGTAAGTGTGACTGCTGCCCAGCGAGCAAGGGTCCCTACCTGCTAAGCCGACGTCAGTGGCATTGGCAATCATGATGGCCTCCTCCTCTGTGTCAAACCTGGCAAAGTTACAACAGGTCATAAGCAAAACCTGTGAAGGGAACAGCACAGGAGCCCAGCCGTCTCCCTTTCTGATTTGTTTACTGAACAGTGGCAAGAGCTAAGTCAGGGCTTTGCAAGGAGACCCAAGGGCAGAGAGGAAAACAGTGCCAGTGGCAGAGGGATGCAGCGCTGACTTGAGTGCTGAGCTCAGTGCTGGCCTCGGCCAGCATGCAGGCACCGTGCTGTATCTAGACCATCACTCGACCCCTGAGGAAGGGACTGCTATTCCGGTGCCACTAAGAACTCATTACTGTCATAACTGCTTGGATGGCATCATGTGTGTGCAGGATGTAGGGGCCCAGATACAGCACAACTACATGGAAGCAGGCACAGGGCGGTGGAGGAAGAAGGCCACTTAGAGAGGCAGAGGGCAAGGCCAGCCTTCCAACAGGCCTGGCCACTCACCCCTGCTCCCCATTCACTATGAGTGGCATCTGTTCCTCTCTGAAAGCAAGGGCTTGCACCAAAGCCCCCTGCAGCTTCTTCCAGCATTCTAATCTTTTTTCAGTAACAAGATCCAAGTGGTATTTTCTAAGTGTACAAAGTTTTAAATATAGCGATCCACTAGCAAAGGGAGCCCGCTGTCTCTGCAAGGCTATGCAGAGAGCACTTGGAAATCCTCAACCTGCCTGCAGTTCCAACACCAGGCAGCAGAGCCTGAATCTACTCCTGTCACCTCCGAGGCCTGCGTCCTTCTGGTTACCTGACACAGCCTGGGGTTCACATTCTAGAAAAAAAAAATGTTTCTATTAAGATGAAGGATGAATGTTTTTCAAGTGGTATATCTGTGTAATGGTGGGATAATGCATAAACTCCATAAGCAACAGCGGTACTAAGGTGAGCAAAGTACATGATAAAGTAGACTTCTGGCCCTGGGCAAGTGGCAGCAGCTTGTGGGAGCTCGGCGCTGGAGATGCCAGAGGTGGAGAAGGACAGCGTGACTGAAATAGCTGTATCAGCAAAAAACCAGCAACACGTCGGGTGTTTTTGCAGACCAAAAAGGCAGCTGGATCCTAGAGGGAAATAGTGGCCACCTATGGAGCTGTAGAGGTGGGGTGCAGCCCCTCATTACCCCCCTGAATTTCCAGTGATCCTGTCTATACCCCTGGATCTGTGCTAGGTGCTGGGCAGGCGGGGGCCCAGGCAGTGCCCACACCCGGTAACCTAGGGAGGATGGGGGCCTGGGCAGTGCCCACACCTGGTGGCACACCAGCCACACACAACAAGCATGGGCAGGAGGAGCAGCCTCTTTTTTTCCAGCCCATTGCAATAGACATAACTGCAAAATACCCAGGAGGAAAAGGACATTGGGCTGGTGCAGAGACAAGGCTTGGGTACTAGAGCCCTCCAGCCGCACCCTGGGCCTCAGCCCTTTGCCCCCTAAACACATCAGGAGCTCAAACTGGGCTCCCAGCTTTTCTCACAGCCCCATAGCAGCTGTCAAGGATGCCCAGAATTCACAGGGGAGATCAGGAGACAGCCGAGGAGCTCTATGACTAAAAATGACAACGAACAGCACAGTCTATGTCAGACCAAGAAGAAATTGTGGAACAAAATCAAAATGTTAGGAAAGGGATAAGACAGGCCCCACAGAATAAGGGGAAAATGAGGCCAGCGAAATCAGCTATAGGGAAGAAGTGACTGTAAAGATCAAAATGGGGAAAGAAAAAAAAAGCAAGGACAAAGCACTTGAGTGGGTTATAGATCTGAAGAATTAATTAAGACACAGAAACCCAAATATCATATGGGTTCTCTCTCTTCTATGAGAAACACAAAATATAAGTAAAGAATAAAATGAAGGCGGGCCTTCTGGAGAAGAGAAAGGGGTGGAGAGAGGAGTGGAGGGAAGGGACAGAAAATGATCAAGATATGCGTCACATAAGTACCAATTCCTCCAAATGAATGTGTCATTACTGCAAACATATGCTAGTGAAAAATGGCCAAAGCCAGAGTCCAGCCCATGGAGAAGGACTCTCAGAAGACATCAGGCATGGAGGAAGGGAGGGATAGAACAGGCAGGTGCTGCGGAGGCCAGCAGTAGAAATGCCGCCGCACCCATCCTCTTGAGGGCTGGCAAGGGATACACAGATGGGAGGAGACCCCTGTGAGAAATAAGGATCACAAATGTTCTGGGGCTGAGCAAACACTTTAGATGTTCAAAAGAAGACATGGGGACCTCAGGCCCACAATGCCCTGGGGTGAGACCAAAATGCACCAGAGACACTGCAGGAAGAAGCAAGGGTGCCAAAGGCCAAGAGATGCTAAGAGTTCCCAAAGACTAAGAAGAGAAGGCCATGAACTGAACTCTGCCCCTCGGGGGGCTCAGCCTGCCCCTGCCTGGCCCAAGCCCCTCCACAGCACATGAAGTGCTCTGTCCGCTCTGGTCTCCCCACAGGCCGGAGGATCTTACTTGATAACCGGTGCCAGTGGCCCGAACGTCTCTTCATGAGAGCAGAGCATGTCCCCGGTGACATTGCTGAGCAGGGTGGGCTCGAAGAAGTTTCTTCCATATGGGTGCCGCTTCCCGCCTGTCACCACGGTGGCCCCTTTGGAGACTGCGTCACTCACGTGCTTCTCCACCTATGTGACAAGGAAAAGCAGAGCGTGGGGGGAGGCTGGCTGAGGAGAGCTGAGGGGCACAACCTCTGGACAACTCACACTGCAGAAAACTGTAATTGGTTTTATTTGGTTTTCTGGGGGTGCTTTCCTTGCACCCCAGGGTGAGTCCCAGCCTTTTGGGTTCCATGTCGTTCTGTTTCCTGAATTGCACTTATTTTTCTTCTGATCCTTTCTCCTCAGCATGGATCTGCGCTGCTTCATGATGGGGACTAAACGTTGTCCCCAGAGAGTGTCTCTGACTGATTCTGCCGCCTACTGCACACCATCACATACACCCACCATACACCTACAGGCACACCATAGCCCACCTGCTTTACATTCTTTTTGCTTGGTAACTGGTGAGATCTTTTTATCTAAAGAATTAAGTTACTTTCCCCATGTCTGAGAAGTTTTTGTCAATTATTTATTAGATAAATGACATTTCTTCCATCTTCTCAATCCTTCCATTCAGTAGCTCCTCATGCTAAGGGATTTCTTCCCTCAGCTCAGCTTACAGATACTCCTAGTTTAACAACTTAGCTGCTTAATGACTGTGGTTTTATGACTGCGGTGCCCCGCTCAGACTTACGGCCCATTTTCAGACTTGCCAGGCAGGAGCGTCAGTGGCAGTGTGCTGTA